TCTCTTCTCTATCATCCTTATTCTCATTCTTCTATTTGCTTTATTATTAATTCACTTTTCATAATTTGATTTAATTGGATTGTTTTTTATTTGTGTTTTCATTTCTGTCATTATTATGTGATATTATTATTAATTATGGATGAAATGTTTTGTTATTTCTATTTTAATTATCTTTTAATTTCTTATTTTTATTATTGTTACTTAAAACAATAAAAATGAAATAACATTTAACTTAATGAATAAAATGAAATGATGTTTATTAAAATAATAAAATAATAAATAAAATGAAATGTTATAAACGTGTATTTAGTTATTTAATCATCTGATTTTAATCTGATATTCATTAAATTAAAATGGAAGAGTTAATAAATAAGAACACTCAATTCTTTAAAGAAACAATAGAAACACTTCCAAATATTCAACAATCCATTGATGATATTAATAAACATTATCATTATTATTTAGGAAGTATTAAAAATGAAATATTTAAAATAAAACCAGATGAAACATATTCAGAAGCTATTAAAAGGGGAGAAGGAATATTTGATAGGATTGATGAAACAGAAAGAAGAAGAAAATTAATATAATAAAAAGTCAAGAAACAATTAAAGTAGTTGAAATAATAAAGAATCAAATGAACAAAATAATAGAAGAATGTAATAAAGATGAAGAAATAAATAATAAAATCATTTCAATTGAAGAAATGAATATGAAAAATAAACTATTGAGAAAACCAAAAGAAAGTGATAAAATCACCCAATCATTTAACAAAAAGAAAAAAGAATGGGAAACATATTATAGTGATTATTTTGAGAAGAAGAAGAAAAAAGAAGAAGAAAAAGAAAGAAACAAGAAGAAGAAAGATTAAAGAAAATGAGAGGAATGGGCACAATGGAAGAAATGAAACGACTAGAAGAGGACAAATAGAAAAGTATTCAATATAATATTTGATTCAGATATTGATGATTGGAATAAGAATACATCAATATTTGATCAAAAAATAATGAATAAAGAACATATAATAATTATTATTGAAGATACAACGGAAATAAATTTGGAGGATATGTTAATTTTAAAAATGATGAAGTTGATTTTATAAATGATCCAAAATCATTTTTATTCAAAGAATCAAA